AAGCTAGCGACCGAAGACTGTTGGACCCGTGAGGGATGAGATTGAAATGCGTACGGCTCCCAAATGACTCCCGCATGGTTTGCCCTCACACATACCTTGGTTGACGTTGAAAGGGGAGCAACACAAATTTAAATTTTGGCAGTCAAGGGGTTGGATTTCAACCACTCAACCACCACAAGCAAAAATGGTTCAAATGTTTCCCAACAACCAAGATACAGTCTGCAGGTCTCCGGCTGGATGCCAGCTGTGACAATCCCTGAGAAACCAAGGGATAATCACCCTCACTCAGCTTCCCTCACTCAGGCGGTGGTTTGGATTGGTGGCTTGGTGGTTAAGGGGAAAAGGGGGGGGTAAATGGTTCCCATTTATATAGCCAAAAGAACCAGGGATTCAAATGCAAATCCTAAGAACCAATCCAAACCGCCAATTAAGCGTTACCTGACACCAAGCAACCTCCAAAAACACTCTGGTGGGTATGGGTCAAAAAACACTCTGGTGGGTATGGGTGAAAATTTTGCACTCCACCAGAACACACACACACATTTGTGTTGGTCCTTGGTTTCCCTTTTTCAGGGCAACCCAATCGGGGTACCTGCCGATCTTTTGACCCAAGTCAGAAGCGCCGAGAACCCGAGGGCCCGGCCAAGTCTCATCGGGCTCCCAGAAGCCTTCAGCCCGTTGGGCTCGCCGCATCGCGCGCGCGGTGTCCTAGAACGAAACGCGTCGATCGGAAGGGCACACCCTGCAGAGGGCCTGGAGGGGGGGGGAGGGGGAGGAAGACCGAACTAGCACCAACTATGGCCTTAATAAGGCCTTAATAAGGGCTCAATAAGGGCTTATACCTCCTGCCCTCCCTCCCCCCCAGCCCCCATAAGTGAAAACCCAAAGAGAATCATGCTTAATGTTTGGACTCATAATGCTTGTTGTGTGGAACCCGCAGTAACAGCTGACGATACAGGAAAACTGCACAGTCTCTTGCTTTGTGATTGAACCATGATTGTCTGGTGGACTCTCGATATTAAAGTTAAGGATCTTCAGTATGTCATTTGTAACAACTTGCAATTGAAGAAAGGTCAAATCTATGCCAGAACTTCAATAGCTTGACATTGAACAATCTCTATGCTTTCGCCGTTGCAGTGCTTCCAAAAGTTGAACTTCCAATTCTGGATCTTTCCGGATACGTTTTAAAGGAAACCAGCAATTATACCAACCACTTGTAGAGGTCGCAACCGAAGCACAACACGGCTGGATTGGTCTAACTGATCCTGTGAGAAAGTGTCAAGCTCACTTACTAAGCGCTTGAAAATTGGTTTCCTTCGTCATGTTCCGAAATGACAAAAGGTTGAATAGGTCAAACCAAAAAGCAGCCAAAACAACTCCACTTGCCAAATAGAGGCTGGAAGAGCAATCATCTGACAAAAATGATAATCATGCAGAGCAGTTGCCTTTGCGAGGAAGCAAACATTAAACGCTACAAAAGGGCGCAACTGGGGCCCTATTCTCGACAAGTCCCACATTATGGCGCGTCACATGGAACACGTATATCTTGTGAGCACTCCAAGCATATTTGTTTGCCAATACTCCGTCTTCGCGTTTCACTTTTGGCTGACCAACAGAAGCAGGCAGCAGAGCGCTTCGAACGTCTTCCACCAACCAAGGCTTCCTTAGAGGAAAACATAGCGAACCATCATGCACCAACCCTCCCGGCAGACGAATGCTTATGCATCATCCGCTATTCACCATGCATACTTGTGAGATGGGCCGCTATCAGTCAAGTGCCTCATGACGTAGGTCGGATACGTCAAAATGACCGCCTGTGAATTCGACTCTACTCGTTGCTCCTTCCCAAAGCCGCCGCAGATCCAAAGCCCGAAGAAGGGGCAGCGCGACAGACCTGGCTCGAGAAAATCCATCCACTCGAGTCACTCGAGCGCCGAAAACACACAACCTTTGGGTTCTATGGTGGTGAGAAAGGTTGATATATTATACAGGCTTCAAAAAATCACAATTCCCCCCCTAAACAAATCATGTTTCCAAGTACCTGGATACTGTAGATAGACAAAATCCAGCACTTGAGATGGACAAACACCTGTGAGTACTGGGATAAACGAGCAATCCCAACCACTGCTAGACTTTGTCCATCCGCAGATGTCAGAACCTGGGCCAACACCTAGCACTGAAAGGCCTTGCCAGCCGCTAACTCTTCACTTACAGGGAGTGCAGCGGGGCTGTAAGCCGTGCTGCTGCAGGAGTCTGATCACACAGACCAAGGGTGGATGGCATTTCAGACCAACCGCTCAAGGTGACTCGACATGAAACGTGTTGGAGTGCAATTCAATCCCTCTAAAAGGCGTAGAAGAAGCTGAAAAACAAGCGGCAGGTGCTTCTTTTCATGGCTGCTCCATGTCTTTGAGCCGCAGCCGCAGTGTCCAATGGCTGAAATAAATTCGGCGACTAGCGCCAGGACCTTCCTCCAAATGGCTGCGCTTGCGCTGGGCACAACTACTTCAACATCGATGTGCTACTTGAACGTTGCGCTGGCCATGCCAACCTGAAACATGCAGTTTGAACATGATATGTGCGAACTCGACAGAAATGCGTATGGCGATTGTTCACGCATCGCATTTGCAGTTCCAATGACACTGTGGACAAAATGCGTTCCCGTGTGGGGATCTAATGCGCCGCCTTCGGGCGTCCTCACCCCTCCCAACGTTTTACGGACCATGTTCGTGCAACCTTGAACCTCAACTTTCCGGGCCGTCGCCACAGGTAACACCTGGTGTTTAACAAGGGCTCTCTTAGTCTGAGCACTCCTCAGGAGTCAAGTACTCTGACGCAAACAAGCGCGAGTTTGACCAATCTTCCCCACCTGCTCCCTGCACATGGTCGAAGTGATACTTCTCCTCGGGCCGAGAACCCGATCTCACAAAGTTGGAAGTCGTCCCTACAAATCGACTCGCGCGTCCACCACCACGCATATATAGATAATTTAATCATTGGTGACTGCAATTCTGAAAAAAAAACAAAACTGAGACTTGTGTCTCCCTGCGAGTTCCCTTATGGATATTCCAAGTTAGAGTCCACTTATGGCAGTTGGCCACAAATCGGACCTTCGACTCTGGAGCTGATGATGATGGCTCTCTATGTCTGGTGCAAACAAGCTGCTTTTCATTGATTTTGTTTTGTCCAACTCCAACAGTTTGTTTCCCCATCTTTTCAAACAGCGCGGACAATGCAATTGCTCACGCAAAGACCTCCATGTCACCATTGCGTAGTCCGAAGAAAAGGCAATACTTGGTTCCCGCTGATCCAATGAATGCGCTCTGATTGTGTCTTTTCATGCATCCTTCTAAAGGTCGATTGTAGATGCAATTCTTTGTGCTTGACCCTCCCACATGTGGGAACCTCTCACCAATAGCATGGACGGCTTCTTCTTGATTTCCTTTTAAAAAAGGGGAAAAAAAACAAAAACAACAGAAAGACGCTATTCCTTTCACCGCTTTGCAGGCCGCGAGTCCGGCCGACCCTTCGGACCTCGCCGGCAGAGGTAGAACCTCACCGGAAAATTGGCATTGTCAGTCGTGGAAGCATCTTCCATGTGTGTTTTTGTCTGTCCTTTTTGGACAAAGTGGATGCGTTTCCCTGGCAAACGGAATGACACCCATCCAACCCAGTGCTGTCTATGTCTCACCAAACTAACCCGAAACTCACTTCCTGAGTGGACTGACCCACCAAAAAAAGGCATACTTTTTGCTTGCCACTAAAATGCTCCAAACCCAAAAAGTGGCCCCAGTCCGAAACGGAACTCAGTGAGCCAAAGGACGCGGAATTAAAGCTCCAGGCTGCGATCGCAAGTCGCGAGGCTCTGCAACTGGGGAACTTGGGTCGCGGTCTGGTCTGCAGTTCCATTCGATTCTCGAGGCAAAAATTGGCCCGAGCCTCAAAAGAGCCCAACAAAAATTGGCCCCTTATCTCGACTTCAACCCCAACCCTTGGCAAAGATTAAATTGGCCCGAGCCTTATCTCAACTTCAACCCCAGCTTTTTTGGGGCTCCATGCTTTGGGATCGGATTCTTGCGGGGAGGCGATTTTGATTCATGTCCCCATGGAATGATCTGGGGCCGCAGGGTCTGGCTCAAGCTGGTCCATGTAGACTGATGAGACCGGGTTCGTGCCACTTTCTGGGGAGATTCGGAAGACCTCCAGCCAATCTCCGGCAAAATGAAAACAACTTCGGAACATTTTTTTCGGCAAAGTGAACTGCCAAGAATTCTGACCCTAAAACAAACTCACTTGCTGAGTGGAACGCCCAAACACAATCTGAGCATTTTGTTGACCACCAAGCTGGTTTTCCCAAAAACGCAAAGTCCAGGAACTCAGGGAGTGAGTCTAAGGAACCCTTAAAACAGATCATTTAACCTCGCCTTACAGTCCGGATCCGGATTCCAAAGTTGCCAAGCATGAGCTCATGACTCGATTCTGGGCCGCCGACACCTCCGCATCCTCTTCACTCTGCCCGTCCTCACGCACCCCAACGGTGCGCAGTTACTATGTCGCAGGCTTGATGCTCCATTCTCCCCACCCATCCTTCTCTTCACCGCCCAAAGTTTACCAAAGGCTGGCCCACTTCCTGAAAAGATTTGCATCTTAATGGGCACGGTACAGCGAAAATATGGACCGTGTCCAACACGGAACCCATGTTTGGTCCATGAAGTGAAAGCCACCAAAATGATCTTGCGGGGCTCCCAAAACCTCAGCTCGCTTGCAAGAAAGGGGTCCGCGTGCATTTGTAGCAGCGAGGTTACATATGACACCTGCGTCACCTTTGTCGCAGAACCTGCGATTTATCCTGCAGCTCAAAGCAGTCACGCTGAAAACAGAAAGTGGAAGCAACAAACAATGTATCTGTCCAAGCACGCTGGCTTTTCGACACTAATCCTACGCCTACATGGAAGCCGGCAGCATCCAGCTGCGCTGTGTGTCTTCCAGCTCGATTAGCGGCTGACATGTGGTGTTGCTACACAAACTCCTCCGCAAACACTCCCTGCATCCGGATGCAAGCAAAGACATCCGCTCCCCAAAGCATCTTTGGCATCCCCCGGCCTTGCAACGGACTCCTGATGCCAGATTGACCAACCTTCAACAAACACTGTAGATATCGCCAAAAACGTCCCACAGCGGCCGGAGTCTCCAAAAATGGGTTCGTTTCCTTTTGGTTTCCCTGTAAAGCCATCCAACACGAGTAAAAGACCTCCGAGGGTCCCCATGAGGCCTTGAGGCTTGCCAGCGCTGCCAGGAAGCTGCGGAAGAATGCCTTGCGGAGCGCAAGACGTGGCGTTGCCAGCTGAAGGGATGCGATGCTTTCCGACAAAAACATAGTACTCAGCACACTTTCACCTTGCTTGAACCGAAACAGGCTAAGGAGCACACAAGACAAGGCGCAGCATGCTTTGCACTAACCTTCGAGAGGAAAGCCAGTAAATCCACAGAATCCGCCGACGCCAGTCGAGCGTATAGATGGTAGTCCGCAACTTGGTCTTCCTTCGGAATCTCTTATCAAAGCCGAAGGCTTTCGCGACTGCTACTTTTTGGGCATGCTGTGCTGGGTGTCCAGAACCCTGTATTTTTCGAGTGTTTTTGGGTCTTGCGTGCTAAAAAAATGTGTTTCGCCTAGGTCTCTAGGTGGGGGTTCCCCCGGACGCGCAGGATCTGCATCCCCAGCATCATCAGGGTGGGTTATCTTGTTGCCATGAATTTGTCTCTTTTTTTGCAGATACTAGTGGCGTTTTGCTGTTACAAGCAATGTTGGAATTGGCCTGTTAGGGGTTTGGGATGGGGCCAAGTGCATTGATACTTTGAGGAACTGTTGAACTTTGCAAAAATGAGTGTTGTTTTTGCAATTCCCCACCTGTACGGAGCAGTTACTGCGAAACATCCCCTGCATTATCGTGCGTTTGGAAGTCTATTTTTAGGAGAAATGTATTTTCTGTGTTTGGTCAATTTTGCGTGTCTGAAAGTCTTAAAATTTTGGATGCGAAGATTGGGTGTGTTTTTGTATGTTGTGTGGTTGCATCCCTTGGATTTCCAGCATCCTCAGCATCTGGGACATCCCAGTTTACTATTAGGGGACTGTCCACTGGCGTCGGCAGATCGCGTAGCCATTTCAATACCTCTCCAAAAGCTGCCAAGAGGTCAATCTACATCCCAGCAATCAGTGACAAGCACTGGAAAAAGCAAATCCACCAGAGGCCAGCGTTTGAGGCACCCAGTTAGCGGCTTTCTGGCAGCTATGGCTGACTTTTGTTTGACTTATTCACATCAAGGGATCAATGTGAACGCGATGAAACAATGCACTGGGCCTGTCTACGTCTTGGGCCGGTGCCGATTGTGTTTCTCAATGGTTGGCTTCCCGTTGGCTTCCCTTTCGAACCAATCTGGGCTCCGAGTTCCATTTCTAGGTCCTCCAGTAGAGAAGTTAGAATAAGGGTGCCAACTTTCTTCGGTTTTGTCTATTTTAGTAGGGGAACCCTCCCAACCAAAAAAGTTGGTCAAAGGGCACTACTGAAAAACCTAGCTAAGGGTAGCCGGTTTCAAGCAGTTTTGCAGGTCTCAATGCACAGGTGTGCGCTCATTAAAAGCAAAAAACACATCGAAAACGCGGCAGAGAGCTGGGGCACCTAGCTGGGGGAGGAAGGAAGAAAGAAACTAAGAAAGAAAGAAAGAAAGAAAAAGAAAGAAAGCAAGAGAGAACAAAATAAACCTAGTCTTTTGCGGCACTCCCTGTGATTCCAAACCGAACCGCCCCGATCGCCCAAAAAACCAGACCTTGCCCACAGTCCAAGACGGCAGCAGCAGCAGAAATGGCTCCGCAACCTCCTCGACGAGCGCATTCGGGCTCGTACGAGCGCACCAGCCCTGGGCCCCCCAAAAAGGCCCCCCAATCCCCCAAATCCAAATAGGGGCTATCCGCTTCCTGTTGGGTGCCTTTTTTGTTTGGGGCCGTCCTGTCAATTATGGGACAGGTCCGCCCAAAAGAGACCATTGAATAGTATATGTGCGATTCATATTTGGCGCTGTGTCAAAAAACTTCTCCCTGACCTGATGGTTTGGTCGCCCCAGAAACTGTCCCCAAGAGGTGATGGCAAACACATATTATTGCTCTGAGAGGCAGCCAACCAAATTTGTCTCTCAGCGTCATTTCTCCGGAGTCAAGGTGAATGTTGACTTGTGAGTGAGGGAAACACGAGGTAGAATTGCTGAAGAGGTTCGCTTATCTCCTGAAAAAGCGCCAAAAAGCGCATGGTCTTGCACCTTTTTTTTGCAAGGGTACCTGTTTTGCTGGCTGAAAAAGGGACACCCGGCGTTTCCCCCGCCAATTGGAAAATCCACTCCCACCTGGAGTCCTCTGGACCTCCGAGATCCGCGATCCGGGCCTCAGCTTTCAGCCTCTGGCGCCGCAGGATGAAGTCCAAGAGCCGCTCCTGACATCGAGCAAAGAACACCCGCCGGCGGGAACAATCCTTTGGGCCCAAGGGGGCGTGCAACAAAGGGACTTGGGGACTTGTTTTATTCTTGCTTTTTGCAGCCCCGTACTAAACATGAACAGAACCCCAAAAAAGCAAAACACTATAACAGAACAGAGAAGAAATGCACCAAATTGGCGCCTTGGTAAATGGAACCTAAGACTGCAACCTGCGGCTCCCTAGCTCATTCCTTTTGAGTCACATATGGCATATGGTTGGTTCACGAAATAGGTGTCCTTCTGGGAAACGCGAAAGGAAACCGACGACTTGAAGGGGTCCCTAAAATTTAGAAACACACATGTTTATATTTTTTTATTCCGGCGCATGGCCTTTCAAATTTATGCGAAGCGAGCAACATGTTCGGAAAAATCCATCTTCCCCACCAAACACGGACTGGGCTGCAAAATGGAAATTCCCTCTTCCCCCAGTTCTATTTGTACGGAAGTGGAAACAGCCATACCATTTGGCTAGACAAGGATTCACACAGTCAAAGGGCATTTTCATGCTGACCTTCATTCAGGGACCCGGATGTCGCAAACCAAATCCCTTGAGGTCGCTATGCTTTGATCTAATATCGTCATGCCAATTGTACAGTCCGGGCCCATGCAAAGTGCCCAAAGACAATCATTGGACTTGTTGGGCACGTGCTCCCTCCCCGGCATGGCTCAACTCGTTTCCGGCAACTAACTTCACGGCGGGGAAAAGATAGATGTATCCTGAAGTACGGAAATATATATATATATATATACCGAAATACGCTCATATTGATGCACCCCCAAAAAAACGCGGGGCCCCCCAAAACAAAAACCGCCTGAGACACTCCCTTTGGCTCGGCGCATCGCTTCCCTTTTCCGCCCGCGCGAGATCTCTTTCGCCCGGAGCGGGGCGAAGGCGGCGTCTTTCTCGAGGCCGGGGGAGAGGCCGTAGGCCATGAAGTGGTCCGGGATCAGCTCCTGAGCCGAGACGAAGTTTGGCGCAGCTCGGAAAAAAAAATCCGCCGCCGGCCTCAAAAAGGCGAAAAACTCTTGGTGTTTAGGCAGGGAATGAGTTGGAATGACCCCGAGTGAAGCCATCCAACTGGTGGCTTCCTTTAAGCGGCAGTCTGGGTTCATTCCCTCTTTCCCGCGATGCACTTTGACGACCATTATGAAGGTGCTCCCTCAGGTTCAACCTTGACCGAGATTGGATGATGAACATCCAAAGGACAATAATGGTGGTTATATTAACCCCGGTTGTTTTAATGGTGGTTCAGCTCCTAAGCCGAAGAGCTGCGCCCGGCGAATTCGAATTTTCGACTCCAGAGTCCCCCTTTTTGACCTCAAGATAGGCTTAAACCTAGAGGGTCTCCTTTTGGGGGGAAGGAACCAACCTTGGCCTACTGTGGGGGGGGGGAAATAGAACCCTGTTCGACTCAGGTCTCGACGTTGGCGAACTCTTGCTGGTGCTGAGTAGGCAGGGAATGAGTTGGAATAACCCCGAGTTAAACCATCCAACTGGCGGTTTCCTTTAAGGCAGTCATCCCTGCATGGGTTCCTTCCACTCTCTTTCCCGCGATGCACTTTGACGATCATTATGAAGGTGTTCCCTCAGGTTCAACCCCCATTGAAAAAAAAAGAGGCGACCCAAATTGGATGATGAATATCATTAGGAAAATAATGGCGGTTTTATTAACCCCGGTGGTTTTAATGGTGGTTTGAACCCCAGGGTGCTGGTTTGACTACTGTCCTGTTTCCGCTGAAAGTTTTGAAGCCTCGATGTTTTGCGGCTCCGGGCAGTGTCGGATTCTTGAAGGGCTCAAGAACTTGGGCCGAAAGGTAGCGAACACCCAACCTCCCATTCAGGATTCCCTGATTTCATCCACTTGCAGGCCCATGCTGAGCTTCTCAGCATGCAAAATGTTTGACACGGTGTGCCTTCTCAATCCTCCTTGTTGGGAACAAGAACAACATCAGAATGGCAGCTCTTCTGACCGCAGCGCCCAAACAGGTCTCCGTTGTGCAAACAGTATTCCAATCTCAAATCAGGGATCCAGGAAAACCCCGGACACCACACAACACGCGCACGCGTGCCCGATAATCAAGACCGCACCGAATTTCAATTAATAGCAATACAGGAACCACGGCGAGAGGCAGTCGCCCGCCGTGATGCAAGGCCCAAGCTGAGCCCCCCCCCCCCGCCCATCCCCACCCATCCCCAGCCCCGGCCGCCCACCGCCCCGCGTCCTGCGGGTGCGACCACATCTCCCCCTGCCACGGCAAGCTTTGGAGACGCCTCAGCACCTCTGCGCCGTGCACCTGAAAACGGCACCGGAGATCGCAGCGGAAATGTTCGGAAAAACGACGACTCGTGCCTCCGAATGGAACCCCAAACTCACACTGGCTCTTTTGAGTGGATTGGCACCCAAGCTTTTCTTGTTTACCACTAAAATGGTCTACTCAAAATGTTTCAAGCCCAAACACTCAGGAAGTGAGCTGCCTCTTCAATGTGCCCTTCGCCCCCTTTCGTGAGACCTGAAGCTCCTCAAAGTCTTGCAAGCCCTTTTTACTGGGCTGCCCTCAGATCTCCCGCTAAAAGTGACTAACTTTTAGTGGGTTAAATACGGAAACTACCACTAAACACTAGGCTAAAAAGCTACGGAACCGGATGGCCTTCGGGAGCCACCCCATTTTTTAGGTGCCGCTTTGACTCCCAGCCCGCGCCCTCTCGAGGGCCTCCACCGCCAGACGTTGCACCCGCGCGAGCGCCTTGCCGAGGCCCAGCAACGCCTCCTCCTCGGAGCCCTCGATGTCGCACTTCAGCAGAACCACCGGCGCCTCACGAGTCACGGCAAGCGCTGAAAAACAGAATAGGGGCATAAGGCATTTGGCCATGGGCATAACCTATGGCTCCACTTTGGGGTGGATGAACATCCATTTGCACCTATTTTGATGCTCACCAGGGGTACAGGGTTTTGACCCACAGCCATTTGAACACAATGTAGGAACTTAGGAACCCTCTGCGGTGCCGAAGTCAAGCTGAATCAGTTTTCGCCAAGTTTTGCTTCTTGACTTCCCTCTTGCAAAAACTGAAGGGCCCCCTTTCAAAGTGCAGAAACCCACCACCAACTTTGTTGGTCCAAACCGGGAAACGGTGACCAACGGTCGCTTCCTCGCTCCCACTTTGCCTCGTCAGTCCCCTTGGCCGCATCCAGCGCTGCGAGGACCGAGTCAAGGCGCACACAGGCGACGCGCTCCATGCGCTCTGCGGCAAAGAAAATGTGCACCTGGGACTCGCCAAAAGAAACGGCGTGGGGGGGGGGGGACTTGGTGAATAATAGGGCACACTCTGGTGGAAAAAGTGTTTATCAACAACAGGGGTTTATCAAGAGCTTACTTGGGGCTTACTTATACACAGCTTCTTTAGGGCGTGGACCGCTGCGCAGAGTCGTCCACATGGCTCGTCCTGGTCTTATCCACGGATGGACACCAATCCTCATGGGCCATGCATCCATGGCTCACACCAGTTCCCTTGATAAGACACCTCAGAATAGTTGGCTTAAACACGGACTCAATCATGAATAAACTATAATTATCTATCCTCCAGAAACCAGGTGTGTTGCCAAGCCAACACTGGTCGTGCAAAAGTTATGGAGACCCACCACCAAGAAACTTGATAAATCGAAATCACAAGGGACTTGCATCCTTGAAGAATGAAAAAAGCAGTTGTAAGGTTTATGCCATTCAAATTACACCGCATCAACACAACTGATCTTCGCGGCACAATTGTGATCGGGGGCGGACAAATTCAATCACCCCAAATAGCTTGAAAGCCTTGTTTGGCCTTCATGGTTTCCTTTTGTCGATATGACCATCCGGGAAAAACTGACGGTGGCAGGTTATTTTTCTGCCGAGGGATTCCACGAAACCCGGGTGTTAGCAACATACCCTGCACCATTCCAAGGCATGCACTGACATGTAAAGTGGAGTCTGTATGTAATGACTAGCGCCGTTTCAATCCAAAAAGCCGCACCCCAAGCTGTACGGCATGTACCTGCTACTTTCCAAACAGCTGGAAAACCCGAGGAATAACCCAAACAACTGGAAACAACTGGAAAACAACCGGAAAACCAAGACATACCCGACCCAAACCATACTGTGGATGGACGAAATCCTGCGCAGCCTAAAGAAACCTAAAAATGATTCTTCCCCTGTGAATACCAACAAACGATGGTTTGTCATGGTTTCTTAGGTGCGATCGGATTCTGTCCATCCACAGTATGTCCAAACTGGAAACACCAAACAAGTCACTGTCCCGCACCGCGCCCACACCCCTCACCCCTCATCCCCCGTTTCGCAGGAGCCGGGCGGCCAGCCGGGGGTCGAAGCAGCCGCTCTGCTGCGCGGCGTCTTTGGCCGGGCGGTGCCGGGCAAGCGTTGAGCTCGAGGTGAGGTACGGAAAGTAGCACAGGCTGTCCTCCCCATCCTGCGGAGAGGAGTGTCCAGCCAAGATCTCAACTGAGCTGAGGAAGCCAAGGTTCCAATAATTTGGTTGCGATAGAGAATCAAAGTGTCACTTCGACTACTCCGCGAAAAAAACAAAACGACGCGGGGGCGTAGTCACGACTTGCTTTTATCGACTCTGCTAATAATAATAATAATAATATTAATGTTACTAAAAATAACAACATTAATAATGGTAATATTAAGATTAAAAAGTAATATTAATAACATGAATAATAATAACAACTCTAGTTTTATTGTTAATAAACATACTAATCTTGTAAAAAAAAATGTAAATAGTATGAATAATAATATTTGTAATATCAAGAAAACCATATTAATACAATATATAATATTACCAATGATAATGTCAATAATTAATACTAATAATACTAGTAATAAGAATATTAATATTAATATTAATAATAATATTGATGTATTAAGAACACAAATAGTACTAATAACAATAATAATATTAACAATAATAATACTATTACTAATATTAATAATATTAATAATAATATTGATGTATTAAGAACAAAAATAGTACTAATAACAATAATAATATTAACAATAATAATACTATTACTAATATTAATAATATTAATAATATTAATAATATGAAAAATATACATACTATTCATAAGATTCAACAATATTGGTAATATAAAAAATGATCATACTGATAATATTCATGATAGTGCTACGAATATTCATATTAGTAATAATACTAATAATATTAACAATAATAACAGTAGTAATAATTAAAATCATATTAATCATACTAATATTAAAAACAATATTAATACTATGGAGAAATAATATTAATACAATATTATTAGTATTCATAAATATATAATACTACGAATTTTATAAAATGAATAATAATAATAAACATACTAATTATATTAATAATTTTACTATTAAGGATAATAATAATAAATATAACAGATTACTAATATTAATGATATGAACAATATACATAATATTAATAATATTAAAAAAAATATCAATAATAATGGTAATATTAGTAATATGATTAACAATAATATTTCTAATATTAAGAAAATGAACAACATATAGAATAGTAATAAGATTAATCATGATGATAATAATATTAGTAATATTAATAATATTAATAGTAATAACATTAGTAAGAATAGTGTTTTTAACAATAATGACAATAATGACAATGTTATTAGTAAGAATAATCGTGCAAATGAGTCGTGGGTACGTTTGTTTGAGTCGTGGGTGCGAAAAAGTAGTCGGTGGTACAACCCCTTCTCGACAAAAAACGACAAAAAAGGCACACACTATCCTTTATAAATAAGGGACTCCAATGTAAAAGACTGCGCGTTTACCCCCGGAAAGACGGTTAAAATGTGGAAATGGTTGGTTTCTCTTGCTTGTCTTTCCTGTTGGACAACGACTTTCAGTGTGTCTCAGCCGCTCTGGGCAAATATATTGGACGTGTCAAAATCCCAACACACTCAAACGTAGCCACACACACACACACACGCACATGCACGCGCACACACACACAAACAATGATGTGAATGTACCAAAGCGTCCTGTCTACTTTGAACGTGTGCACAATCAGCAATCAGCGCTGTCTGTGTTTCCCACTTCAACTTCAGGCTGCCCTTGAGATGGCAAGTTCTAGCATGAATAAGTGGCCCTTGGGCCCCCAACAATCTCAGGCACAGCTTGCGCGGATTTGCAAGACATTGATCCATGACTGGATGCCCTGCAATCATTCATCTGCCCGAGTGCTATGGAATGGAGAGGCGTGATCAATGTCGAAACAATGCGACTAATGATGGTTTCTCTATTTTCGGTAGACCCAAGGCGTGGTTATGCATAGGGAGCAAAAGAAACATGCTGTTTTGCAGCGTCCTGGTCACTCAACGCCAGCTGGAAGCAATGCACCACAACGCCATCGACTCCGAGATGCTCAAAGCTCACTTCTTGGCCATGGTCCACCTGGGCCAAGGGCCAAGGGCCTGACCACATGTTGGTCAACATGAATCTGCAGCTAAATGATGCGCCCCAAAGGGTCCCCCATTAAATTGCACCCAAGTAGCAGGTGTGGACAACTTAATTACAGAATGCCCAGCCCCTTTTGGCTTCCCTTTAGGTAGATAGTTTAAACACTTTGCACCCGGCGTCCTTTTTCGTGGCTGTAGCAAACCTCCTAAGGATAGTCTCTGCGCACAGGAAGTTTCAAAGTCTTCCCGAAAGGCGCGTCAGAAGTCAAATCCTGCCGTGGGGACCTAAACATGGAGCTGGGTATCCTTGACATATTGAAGCAGAAGCAAAAGCTTGCGAAACCTTGGGCTCAGCCAGCGAAGCCAATTGACTCAACAGGCTGAAGTGTGCAAATCCGCCGACTTTGTTCGGCGTGTCGCGCAGCAATTTGATGACGTTCTACTAACACAGGGTCCCAGGCTCGAATCCCCCCTGCCGGCTCTTTGCGGGTTCGCGTTGTCCGCCTCCTTTTGCCGAAAACCTGGAACAACTCTGTGTTTTTGACGTCCTTTTTTGCGAACACGTTGAACACTTACCGTGTTGTTTTCGGAAAAATACATGGGAATGAAGGGACATGCAAGGGAAGTGCAGGGAAAATGAAGGGGAAATGAAGGGGCATGAAGGGGACATGAACGACAGGGAAACGACGGGTGACTGGCAATGGAAGGGACATACATGGAAAATGAAGCGGAGATACCGAGAAAATGACAGGGACATGAACGCGGAATTGAAAACAAAAGAAGGGGACATGACGAGGAAATCCTGGAAAATGACGGGACATGATGGGGAAATCAGAATTCAGGGGTCCTGAAGGGGCAACTCAGTGGGGACATGACGCTGCCATGCAAACAGAGAGAGAGAGAGAGAGAGAGAGGCAGTGCCTGGGGAGGGCGGGGGGAGAGGAGGCAGAGACGCGAGGTGGGGAGAAAAAGGCGTAGAGAAGGGAGAGAGAGAGAGAGAGAGAGAGAGAGAGAGAGAGAGGGGATGGGGATGGGGAGGAGAGAGAGACAGGGAGAGCGGACGAGGAAACAAAGGGGGGAAGGGAAAAGAGAGAGGAAGAAGGAGGAAAGGGAGAGGCCAACGGAAGCCGGAGGCTCTAAAGTTTGAGGGGGATCCTTGCAGGTTTCCATCCGCAGGTCAGTCAAGCGGAAGGACACATGGCACTTGGCATGAACCCGATGCAATCAGCAAAAGCACAAAGAGCTGACAAGACGAACACTACCTGACAAACCAGTTTTAGACAAAGCTTACAGTCACACAAACACAAGCCTACCGCAACAAACTTTGGCGTCAGGTTAGATCACGGCCTTGAACTGACACTTCAAAGGAACCCCCTCCCTGTTGGCTGTCATTTGGAAGGGTGCTCTTTGAAGGGTTCCGCTTTCGTCGGAAACGCCCCGTCGGATGGTAACAGGACCTTGCAGGACAAGTGGAACCCTAGGGTATCTGTGTTGCCCAACTGGGACACAGCCAAAGTGATTTGGCGCACATCCGAATCGAGGCACCACGCGCACACCATGGTGGCGGAGGTTCTGCAGCGCCAAGTCGTAGGTCTCTTTTGCCGGCCTCGGCCAGAGCTATGCAGCTTTACGACTCTCACACAAACCGGAATGTGTCTGTGTGTGTCTAATTTTCTGATGGTACCCCATCTTTGGCGGCTTTAAAGGAAAACCAAAGGCACAACCACAATTTTCGGCTAGGGGGAAGCCTAAAAAAAGACACACTCTTGAGTTCCTTTTCTACATGGTCCAGCTTGTCCACAGATGCTCCAACTCTGTTTGAAGTTCAGCAGAACATTCATATGTCTGTATATACTCATATACACATGTATGTATATATATATATGTATTGAATGTAGGTTGGTTCCGACTTACCGCAAGTGGAAGCAGCAATGAACAACCGACACGTGCTGCCAGCAATAATGTGACCCGTGCCGGCGAAAACATGGGCTAGACAGCCTAGTATCCGAGCACGAACGGCAAAACGTCCAAAGGTCAAACCTCGGTTGCTTTATGCTCCCCTGCAAAAAGTTTAGCGTTTAGTGGTTTAATGGAAACACATTCGTTGGCAAAAGGTTATAGTCCTAACATCCCTTGGCAAAATGCAGCTCTGAAAAGGCAAAGTCAACTTGGGCAAGTGAGACTTGCGCAAATTGACGCGCATCAAACGCATCGCGGGTGTGGGTGACACAACGTCTTTTTGTCGGAGTGGCTCGAAGGCCAGGACCGTCAGCTGGCTGCCTGACCACTGGCGCGCCAAGACCAGTGAGAAGAGGCCCAGGTTCAGGCCGGCATCCTCAGCGCGCAGGTGTTGTCCCCGTTGCAACTGACATGGGGGGGGGAGGGAAGGGGATGGAGGGAGCCCAAACCACCTTTAAAGGCTTTGTTCACGGCGGCTTAAGAGTTAATTTGGGCTCCCCACGGAACTGTGAGACCAAAGGCCTTGACTTCATTGGGTCCCTGGTACAGAAGTGGGAATCAACCGCCGAGCCGCAAGGAACTCGACGACTGAGACTTCTAGTCTATGGGGGCTCGAAAAGAAGAAAGGCTCAACTGCCAGTGCATTTCAGGAAGGAAATTGAAGAAGCAAGGTGCCGGCAATTTGTGGCAGGTGGATTTGGGAGGGAGGCCCGCATTCAAAAGAAACCACAACAAAGGAGGTCTTGTGCTGAAAGAAAATGAAGCTTGAAGACCATCACGACTACTGGGTGCAAAACTCCCTTTGAAAACGTTGGTGCTCGGACACTCCATGGTTGCCTATGGTGGCAGCAAGACCTAGTCCAAAGCCGAGCGTCAATGACGATGCCCGGCGGGAGCTTCTCCAGGTCCCCGTAGCACCGCTCTGTCGCGATCTCCCGGTGGATGAACTGCACCTGACTTCTCTCCATGCCGCATGGAAATAGGTGACCCCTTGGCGAAAATCGATGGGTGCCCCTGGTAAATGGTTTATATAAAACATGGACCTACTGTGGATGGACTGGACGAAATCTCTCCAACGCACCACCCAAGAAGCGTAAATAGCAACAAGCAGTCACTTTTCCGATGGATTGAAAGTAGTGCAGGGTTTCGTCCATCCACAGTAGGTGACCTTTTGGAAAAAATCGATGGGTTCCCCTGGTAAATGGATGGCATAAAACCCATCCCCTATTGGTTTCCCTTTGGATTTTTGGTCAAACAAAAATGGCTATCCAGCACCCTGTATTTCATCACACATACTTTCTTCGTTGAGGCTTTTCCTGTAGCCAAAAGGGACACTACCAATTTGGGTGTTCCTAAATTTCGGACAAACCCACATCCTCATGTGCCTTTGTCTTCTACCCCAAACCTTGGAACCAAACATCAAACACCTCTTGGAATTTCGGGAATGGCCGCTCGCTCCAAAGCTCGTCCTTTGTTTCCCTTGAAAACTCACCCAAAACAGGGCACCCTCCAACGCCGCACCCAGAGAAAGACAAAAATAGAGCCATGTTTCGCCCTGGTTTTTTTCTTTTTGCCTGTGGAAAAAATGATCAGGCGAAGCATTCCTTGGGGTCGCCCGTTTTCTCTCAAAAAGACCCCCCCTGTTCGCTGCAAGGCACCTCCCCCGCGCTGCGGCCGAGGATCTCCAGGCCCTCCACTTGGATGCGCTGCACTGGTCCTTTCGAGTCGCCCCGAGGGCCCCGAGGGCCCCGAGTTTGGGCCTTGAACTCCTTTCAAATCCCAGAGCTCCGTCAGGCGACCTTTTTGCTTTTGGTTTCCCTTTGCAACCCTTGGGCTTTGCAAACGTTTTTTTGGGCAGCCTGCTAAAAGCTGACAGAACCACAGAAACCAACAACTTGCCAAACGACGGGGAAGTTGCCCAAATGTTCCAAAAGGGATCTGAGAAACGCACGAAACCATAAACAGCTGCGAAACGAAGAGGGGTGTGTGTGTGTGTCAAAGCGAGTTGGACAACTCCCGGCGGTACGTTTTATTAAGTGGCTCACTCTTCACCCTTTCGGGAACAACATGAGATCAGATCCTTTACAGCATCTAGCATGACAAAAATGTACTGCAAAGTGGCCCAGAAGCAGCCTAAGCCCTCTGCTGAAACAGAAAAGACTCACTTGTAATCAGGCCGCAGCTTAGAGTCTCAAACAGCTCCGCGCATGCGTCTCTGCCTTGTCCAACATGGCACGGATCTCCTGCGAACGAAAAATGGGAAGGATCGAGAGGCCAATGTTTGAACGGCACCATTGGCGCTGGGTCTTTCGCTGTCAGCTTTGCAGGCGAGGCTTTGGCAAAGTCTATGAAATTCTATGTGGAGGTATCCTTTCGTGCAACATTCAATGCGGACCTTCTCATATCAAAAGCCTTGAAAACCAGACTAGAAACCAAAGAGTGACACAGCCCAAACTGCTGAGACCAAGAGTGAATCGAACCACCCATCTTGTAATTGTCACGCCCGGCGACTAAAATCCAGGAATCAGTCTACGCTTGGAGAGTCTCTCACGCAAGCGTGTTGGAACGTTCATGATTGGTGCACAGACAGCGGGAAAACATGTGCATTCCATTCTAGTGCGATCCACTGGCGAGCCGCTCTGGCGGGACACTCGGCGGGATCGAGCAGCTCTGGCGGGATACTGGGCGGGATTCACTGGCCAGCTGCTCTGGCGGGATACTTGGCGGGATTCACTGGCGAGCCGCTCTGGCGGGATACTCGGCGGGATCCACCGGCGAGCAGCTCTGGCGGGATACTGGGCAGGATCCACTGGCCAGCTGCTCTGGCGGGATACTCGGCGGGATCCACTGGCGAGCCGCCACTGGCGAGCCGCTCTGGCGGGATACTCGGTGGGATGCACTGGCGAGCCGTTCTGGCGGGATACTCGGGGGGATCCACCGGCGAGCAGCTCTGGCGGGATACTCGGCGGGATCCACTGGCGAGCCGCTCTGGCGGGAACTTGGCGGGATCCACTGGCGAGCAGCTCTGGCGGGATACTGGGCGGGATCCGCTGGCGAGCATCTCTGGTCGGATACTTGGCGGGATCCACTGGCGAGCTGCTTTGGCGAGATACTCGGCGGGATCCACTGGCGAGCTGCTCTGGCAGGATACTGGGTTGGGGGGCGTGGTGTAGAAGCATCGCAAACAACAACCCCTTCCTGTCGGGTGGGGAATAACCAGAGAAACAAAGAACCAGGCAAGCACAAAGAGAAACAAGTACACAAAGCAACGCCCTCCTCCACTGCTGTTGGAAGGCCATCTTCTTCCTCCACTTGGCACCCAACGCGACGCACTGCCTCTGCCACCTGGCTGCAAGAATTTGTGTTGCGAAAGGCATCCATTCGAAGTGGGCGTGCCAGCAACCGAAAATCATAATCTCCAGAGGAATGACAATTTTTGGACCCTCGTTAAACAACTCCATGCTGTGCTTTATCGGGAGTAAACCAAAACGGGACACAGATTGGCCACATTTGTAGTTGGACAAGTTGATTTCAAAACACATGACATCAAAACGGTGCCATCTTGGGCGCGCATGACTAAGTCATAGGCTTGCGGAACAAGCAACACCTTCATGGATATTGCAGCAGAAGCGAGGATTCAAAGGACACTTGAGCTTGTTGAGGCACATGCGAGCCACAGTCAATTTTCATTGCGTACCCAATTTACATGTTCGAGGAGCTCCATAGCCTCTTTCACCGATGTTGACCTTTGCGCAATTCATTCGCATGTCCGAGACATCGAGTCATTGGACAAAATAAAATACAACGGGTGTTCGAGTGTCAGACGACCAGACCCACACCCAACAAAGAGATGACACACCCAACATCCAGCAGCATAGGTGTCCTTTTTTGGCAAAATAGATGGCCCTTGTAGTTGATTGAACCACCAGGTAAACCAGGGCCCTCTATTTTTGACCAAATCAACCCAAAAGGACACCCAACATCCAGCAGCCACATTGTGCAGCAACAGGGATCGAACCACCCCGCCAAAACAGGGAGTGTGCTTTGACCAT